CGGGGCGCGGGCGGCAGTGGAGTCCTGCGGCTGGGTGGGATATAGGGCAATGAGCGTTGAGCAGTGTGCGATGAGCAATGAGCAATGAGCAGTGAGCAGCCCCTCCCTAAACAAAGTGAAGCGCAGGACGGGGTCCGGTGGATGGGAGGCAAGGAAACGCGGGGGGTTGCCACGTGCGCTACCGCCGCCGCCGCAGGCAGCACCCCTGCGGCGGCGGCAGCGGCAGCAAGCCGTGGACCCAAACGCCGTTTTTTGGGGTCTGCACTTGGCGCGTCGGGCAGATCAAATAATGGTCTAAAGCTAGACGTTAAAACCGGGAAGTTAAGCTTGTGGAGGCTCTTCCCCACCTTTACTTTACTTTACCTTTACTTTACCCCCAACCACCCATTTTCGGCTGGCTCCTTTGCGGCTATCTTCGCTGGAACGGAGCTTCTTTCAGTGCATTCAAGCAATCCCGCACCACGGCGAAGACGGTTCCTGTCATGCAAATTTGAGCCCCCCATTCCGCTCGGGTGTACACAGCCCCCTCATTCATTCAGCACACAGACCGGCCGCCTCTTGCTTGCTTGTTGCTTGCTTGCTTGTGTGGGCTTAAAGTCTGGTAAAGCAAGAACTAGCTTGCAACATAGACTCCCCGCCGAAACGGGACGGGAACCGGGCGAAAGCAGAGAAAGCAATAAAACAGGGGTGGAGCAAGGCGACATGCAACGCAAGCAGCTGACAGGGCACGCATCGAAACGTGTGTATGACTGGCAAAGTGGCATGGCGCATTGGGGAGAAACGCAACGGTACGGGAGCATGGGCTGGCCAAACGGCAGTGCGGAACGCTAGGTCACTAGAAAAGCAGGGAAAGGCGCACTATGTATGCAATGAGGGCAGCCCCGGCTCGGGGCCGTTGAGAAAGCAGTGGGCGGGAGGGGGGAGGCCCCGGTGTGGGCGGGCCCCATCGAGGGGGGATGGGGCGCGCAAGCGGCCAGATGGGGCGGGGCGCGGGCGGCAGTGGAGTCCTGCGGCTGGGTGGGATATAGGGCAATGAGCGTTGAGCAGTGTGCGATGAGCAATGAGCAATGAGCAGTGAGCAGCCCCTCCCGAAACAAAGTGAAGCGCAGGACGGGGTCCGGTGGATGGGAGGCAAGGAAACGCGGGGGGTTGCCACGTGCGCTACCGCTGCCGCCGCAGGCAGCACCCCTGCGGCGGCGGCAGCGGCAGCAACCCGTGGACCCAAACGCCGATTTTGGGGTTTAGGGTTTAGGGTAGGGTTTAGGGTAAGGCGGTGCTGACAAACATTTCTGTTTACCAAATCGATTTATGCGTTCCAATTGCCTAGGCAGGTGTTCAATTGACAATTTCACATTGAACAATTGAACACCAACTTGGGATCACAGCCTTCGATAAAATTCACGTTTCAGGCCGCGGCTAAGAAAGGCCTTCTTTGAAGGCGCTGGAGCTAGTGTCCAAACCCTCCGAGAGGGCACAGGTTCGATTCCTCCCATGTCGAAACTTTGTGAGGACAAACGCGGCATAGCTGACCGGCTCAGCGCCAATCCAAGCCAATTCCTTCGGGAACGCCTAATAGAATCGCCAAGGCTTCGGCACAGGCCTCCCCGGGACCCATTCACTACTAGTGGGGGGTACTGCACTTGGCGCGTCGGGCAGATCAAATAATGGTCTAAAGCTAGACGTTAAAACCGGGAAGTTAAGCTTGTGGAGGCTCTTCCCCACCTTTACCTTTATCAGGCTGGCTGGCAACAGCTTGGGTAAGCTCCCGCGGTCTTCCTTCAGGATGTAGGAAAGTCAGATAAAATAAAGTGAGACCCGGCTCCGTAGGAGCAAATCGTTTTACTCCTGCTCATTTCACTGGTCGTTCTACATACCCGCCCTGAAACCATGTTCCCGCTGCAGTACTTGATTGCTTGAGAGGGTTTACAGTCCGTATCTTAGCAAGACCAGGCATGCAGCACAGACTTTCTATAAAAATGGGTGGGGCTGGCAGCATACAACGCAGGTCAATTGACAGACACTGGACTGGCAGTGTGTACGGCTGGCAAACTGGATGCAAACTGTGATGCAGAGCTGGGAAAAGGCCGTATCTGAATAGAAATTGGTGGTGGTGGGGAGGGAGGGAGAGGTCTGTTGGTGCGACTGGCAGAGCAGAGGTGGCAGGTTGCCAGTGGTTGCGGCAGGCACCTGCAAAGGCAACGACGCGGGCCGGGGTTGGAGGAGGAAGCGGAGGCGAGGCAGGGGCTAGAGAACAGCAAGTCTATTTACATTATCATGGAAATACACTTACCAAATCTAGCACAGCATGTTGCCCTCAGAGCGCATATCAATGGGGATGACAGCAGGGTCCGCTGGCGCATGCCACTTGGCCAGCCAGCCTCCGATTCTTCTGCCTCCTCCTTCCGCATTTTTGCTGCCCCTGTTGCTGCCATCTGAGCGCAGCAGCGGGTGCGTCCCAGGTCATGCCATGGCTTCATCACGGGATCAGCCGATGATCATGGCGCGCCCAGCCATGCTTGCTTGTGTGGGCTTACAGTCTGGTTTCAGCAAGAACAAGCTTGCAGCACAGACTTTGTTGTTCGAGCAAGGAGGGATGAAGCAGTAGAACAACAGGCAGGACAGGCCAACTGACAGGTCACCGAGCGTTTAGTGTGTGAGCGGGCAGGCAGTACTGCATGTCGTGGAGCAGGTGTGGTGCGGTAAGAGCAAAGGGGGTGGACATGAGAGTGGGGGTTCAGGGCGGGACTGCAGGCAGCGCAACGGTGGCGGTCAGCCAGCGCTGGTGACAGGCGGCAGCAAAGGCGGCGAGGCGGCACGGTTTCTGGCGGAGGAAGCGGTTGGGAGGATGGGGCTCAGCAAACAGGTCAGGAAAGTTGAGGCGCAGCGGGGCGTAAAGGGGGCAGGTGAGCAGCATGTGGGGGGCATCTTCAATGCCGTCGTGGCAGTGGGGGCAGACTCGCTGCTCTCGGGGGCGCCGCGTCCAGCGGCCGGTCTCTTCCGCGCCCCAATGCGACCCGGTGCGCAGCTGCGCCAGCGCCTCGCGGTCCTGCCGACGCCGTACTGCATCCAGGTAGGTCTCGCGCTGCCCAAACATGGCGGGCGCCAGGTTT